TCCTGGGTGGCCAGGCTGGCAGCTCTCCTGCCCTAGACGGCCACTTTCCTGTGCCTAGTGCAGAGATCGTGGACAAGGTCCATTATGTCTGCACTAGCCCAGGAAGGTGCCCACTTCTTGCGGTCCTGGGCAAGCTCCCGGGAGCCGCCAGCCTGGGCCTGGGGAGAGGGCTCTGTGCCGTGCCAGGTGCAGGGTCTGCTAGCTGGGTGCTGGCAGGCTTGCACCTGGCACGGGCACCGTAGCCAGCCCGTGCCCCTTTAAGGGGTCCGGGGCCGGGAGGGGGGCATAGAGTTTCCCTGGTGTTGGCCAGAGTGGCCACCAGGGAAACCTGGGAAGCCTTAGCCTCCCCCTAGTTCGAACTAAAGGGCTACACAGCCCTTAGTTCGAACTAGCTAGTTCGAACTAGGCGTTAGTCGGCTTGCACCTGGCACGGGCACCGTAGCCAGCCCGTGCCCCTTTAAGGGGTCCGGGGCCGGGAGGGGGGCATAGAGTTTCCCTGGTGTTGGCCAGAGTGGCCACCAGGGAAACCTGGGAAGCCTTAGCCTCCCCCTAGTTCGAACTAAAGGGCTACACAGCCCTTAGTTCGAACTAGCTAGTTCGAACTAGGCGTTAGTCCTCGTAAAATGAGGTTTACCTAGTTCGAACTAAGCGCTCCGTTAGTTCGATTCAAATTCGAACTAGCGGAGCGCTAGTGTAGCACCTATTAAAGTTAGTTCGAACTAACGTCCGTTAGTTCGAACTAACTTTGTAGTGTAGACATACCCTTAGAGAATTTGTACATGCGTCTGTCTCTCAGTCTGTCTATCCGTGAGTGTCTGTCTGTCCATCTGGGAGTCAGTGCATTTGTTCAAAAACTCTACCTAAAAATGGGAAGAGCTAGGACTACCACCTAAAAATGGGAAGAGCTGCTAGTATGCAGCTGCCACTTATCCATACTTAAAGCAAGGTCAGAGTCTGGTTGTGCCAGGAAAATGGGATGTGCCTGGAATTTGATTGCTGTCCATAACGTGGAAACGGAGAGGTCAGACAGGACCATTATGCTCTGCAATGATCACTGGGGGCAGCGAGCAGAGGGGGCACTTATACTGCAGAGCGACCACAGGGGAGCGGCTGCACCAGAAGGAAAGTGGCCAGCTGGGGGCACCAGTCTCCAGAGTGTCAGCCACAGGACAGGTAAGTTGCCCCCTGCCTCCAAACACCTCCCCTCAGGCTTTTGGCTACAGGACCAGATGGGGGGAAGCTCTGCTGGCCAGCAACCCTGCCTCCCCAAGGAGCCACTTGTGCAGACTTGCTTCCCCCTCCCCCCATGAAAAGCTGCCAGGCAGCTCAGCTGCAAGGAACTGCGGGGGGAGGGGAGGAAAGGGAGATGCAGGCTGGTTCTAGATCCCCCCGTGAGAAGCTGTCAGGGGGAGGGAGGGCAGGTAGCTCAACCCTGACATACCCCCACCCCCACGAGGATCTGCCTGGGGGCCAGCCAGCGCAGACCCACTTGCCACCCCACCCTGGGAAGAGCTACCACTGGAAGATTGTCACCCTCGCCATGGTAAGCCTCCCCAATCTCCTAGCTCCATGCCCTAAGCCACCCCTGCCCTGAACCCTGCACCCTGCTGTCCTGAGCACTCCCATATCTCCATCCCTACCCTCTGCCCTGACTCCAGCACCTCCACATCACGAGCCCCTTTCCCTGAACCCCTCACATCCCCAAGCCTCTGCCCTGGCTTCTGCACCCCTCGTATCTGCAGTCCCCTGTTCCGAAGGACCCAAGCAACACCGGGTAAATCTTCTAGTTTATATATAAACCAGAATTCAGGTGAAAACTGTTTGGCCTTCGTCTAATTCAGCGGTTCTCAAACTTCACTGCAGGTCAGTCAGTGTTCCCTGAAAGCTGGGTGCTTGGGCAGCCATTCAGGAGAGATTCAAATGCTGCCTGGCTGATCAGCAGAGCGCCCACAGTGCCCACAGCTGACAGAATGTGTTTCTACCGGTGGTGCACATCTGCACATGCCTCAGTGCACATATAATTTATTCCACTCGTGTATTCCCCTTTAGACAATAATTACTACATGACCGTCAGGGGGACCAAAGCCCGAGGCCTCTAAAAACCTGCTACACCAGGTAGCAAGGCCAAAGAGAAGTCCAAGGGCAGACGTTGCACGAGGAGTAACGGTAGTTCGAATTAGAAAGCCTAATTTGAACTACCTACTCCATGCCATGTATAGCCATGGGCACGGAGTTCGGACTAAGGGACATTTAAAAATGGCAGCGCCCGGGAAGATGCAAATGAAGCCCAGGATATTTAAATCCCGGGCTTCATTTGCAACTTCGAATGCCTACATTAGCCTCCCTAGTTCAAACTAGGGGGCTAGTGTAGACATACCCTAATCCATCTATGTTAGGTGGGTTTCCAGCTCCTGTCACCACAATCTTTACTGTGTTTCACGTGAGGGGAAGCAGTGTCTACACTATGCTATTAACGTCCGTTGGAGAGCTGAGCCCAAGGTCACACAGGAGGTCTGTAGCAAAATAGTTTATTAGTTCCCAAAACCATCTTTCCCTGATCACTGACCATCCTCCTTCCTCTCTATCCACTCACCTCAGTCTTCAATTACTAACTCCTGGACCAGCCTCCCTCTAGTCTACAATCACATCTTATCAAGCAGATTGGGCCTTTTCTGGGAATGATCCTCAGCACTGGAATTTGATTTTCTTCCTTAGGGTGCTAGAGCTTGAATATGTTGTTCTTGTCGGCAAGCTGCACAGCCCTGTCTGTTCTGCCAGACATGTGGGGAGGGGATGCACTGAGCTGCACGGATCAAGAATGTACAAAGGAATGACTAATTCTGATGCTGTTATGAATAGGGATTGTTGATATTCTCAGGTAGCTATCTAAAAAGTGATCAAGGCAGGGCTGGCTTTGGTCTATTCTTGGATATGCCAATGACCTTAGTGTGATATTGTCTCGTGTGTGTTTTTATATTTGGAAAAATACCCAAAGCAATAGGTGGGGGTTTAAAAGTAAACCTAAATAAATACACAGGACATGACATGCTTCTTCACTGCCTTCTAGTAACTGTGATGTTGGGCAGTTGCCGTGTTCCACACCAGAGATGGCTGTGTTTCCATGGTGTGGGAAGCCATTCTCAGATCCTTTGTGTATCACACAGCTAGTGCTTTGAAACTGCTCAAGTTGAAAGATACTCTAAGTTAGCACAGAAATAAAACGATGCCCTTTTTTTTTAAAAAAAAAGTAACAAATTTAGCTACAGTGAAATTAAGAAATGAGCTGTGCTGGCAGGCTCTGTACAATCTGTCCCAGAAAGCACTACCAATGTATTTCATGCCTGACCTGAAACATCCCTGCTATTCCATAACGATGGGTATGATGGGCCAGCAGCGGCCCGCACTAATGCGGGGGGAGTAGCGGCTCTGGCCCCGACAGGAAGCCCGGGAGGCACGGCCCAGCCGAGGTGCCACATCCCCCGAGCCCAGTGCGGAATGGAGTCCCGTGGCCACGGAGGACTGCGCCGGCCACCAGGCCGGCTGGGACGTGCGTGCCCTGGGCAGGGGATGCCGGGATGTGGCCCCACCTCCTACGACCCTACGTAGGGAGGCCGGCCTCGCCGGGGGCGGGGCCGAGAAGGGTGGCGTGACCTCTGGGGGGCATTCAAAAGCCACGCCAGAGCCAGAGCACAGGGGAGGACGCCAAGGAGGCGATTCCTCCCACCCCGGCTGAGACGGGAAGCCAGGACTCTGGAGGAGCTATGGGATGACCACACGCATACCACCGACAGTGAGGTAAGGGCTGTTGGGCTGGGACCATGAACCGCTGACCTGGGGGAGGCTAGGAAGCAGCCCGGGGCAGGGACGTATTGGCGCCCGGGGGCTGACATGTTACGGGGTGGGACCCCATCAGCTGGGTAAGGGTTGATACCCTAACCCTTAGGGCCCCGGGCTGGGACCCGGAGGAGAGGGAGGGCCCAGGTCCCCCTAGCCACCCCTTTATCCCTCAGTGTAGCTCACAACGTGGGAAAGGAGCGAACGGTGCAAGGTGGTCAGGACCACCACCACGAGAACCATGGTGACCTTACAAGGTGCCCCGAGAGGGGGAATCAGGGACGCAGGGCCCGCTGGGCCCCGATGCCCCCCACCTGGGGGATGGTACGGGAGCTTGCACCCATTTAACCGGCATCGTGATGGCATTCAGACAGAGGGCTCGCTGGGCCATAACCCCGGATCAAGGGGTTGCGTGCTCGCGAACTAGATCCATCACAATGGGACTCTTAAGCAGAGAGACTCAACGGGGCCATATTGTCCTGGTCTATACTAGGGAATTATTTTGAAATAACTCTTCTTAATTTGAAATAACAAGCAAAGCATCCACACTACCATGCCTGTCATTTTGAAATCTGTACTCCTGCTTTCCATGAGGAATAAAGCTAATTTTTAAATAGTTATTTCAAAATAGCGGTAGTATGGATGCTCAGCTGCTGCTATTTCAAAATAACTACTCCCCAGGGTAATTCAGACTAATTATTCCCCAGTGCTTCCTGGGGCTCTAAATCAAGCTAGTGCATCCACATTAACAGAGCCTGCCTTGGACTAATTTCAAGGCTTCCCCATAGGATGGACACGCTATTTCAAAACTATTATTTTGGAAGTTATTTTTTCTAAATAAGTTATTTCGAAATAATTTCCTAGTGTAGACATGCCCAATGTGTGCTAGTATTTTTGTGATGAGGACTTCTCACTCATTGACCTGTGACCCATGATTTGAGCACAGGGATCTGTCCGTGACAGGTTAGTGCAGGCCCATAGCACTGCACGGACTATTTGATTATAAACACTTGTCAGCTTAAAAGACTTAAAACTATCCTTTCCCATGCCACTGAATTCTGCGTGCACCATGGAAGTCCATGTTACAGTAAAACCAGAGAGTTTTACTCAGTTGGACCCTTTAGTTATTAGAAGTAGGACTACCACTAATTACAAGTGTGTTTTACCTGAAGATTTTTGTAGTGAACAGTACTTCTGCAGTGGCTTGTCTTAGCTGTCTCTTCATTCGTGTAGAAAAGTCCACAAAGCTTGCAATAATACCCAGTTCTGGGCACCACGAACTCCACACCTGCCAAACAATTCTAAATCACATTAACATGGCAGATGTTGCCTCATAAAAACAGGTTTACTTTTAAAGAGAAACATATAATTTAGCTAATCCCAGATGATCTACTTTCAAGCTCACCTGAAAGGACATGAAATTCTCTAACACTGATGAATGATGCTGGATAATTACAATTTAAAATGCAGTGTACTGCAAATACACATTGTATACATTTTCTCTTAGGTATTATATGTATTTATACATTATCTCAGATACTACATGCATGCTGGGGCTGGCAGTAGGGGGACTGAAAGTGCCAGCAGCAGGAAGGGGAAATTGGCTGGGAGTGGGGCAGGTCCTTTGGTCCAGCAAAATCCCTCTTTCTGAACCAGTCAGGTCGTGAGGGTGCCAGACCAGAGAGATCCAATCTGTATTAGATAACACCTCAATGTGTTGTCTATGTTCATGACCTACGGTTGTAGTGTAATCAATCAATCGGGCTAAATCACTCTAAATTGTCACATCCTATGTACAGAGAACTCATGTGAGAGATATCTATTCCCTCAAGATTTCAACTGTTCCATCTCATTAATAAATGCACAATCCGTTGATTGGGGAGAAAAATAATCTGGAATAAAAATCTCAGTTCTTTCAACATTTAACCATGTGTTACCCTTTCTTTTGATTCTCCTTATATTTGTTTTGAGAATACAATAAGTAGCCTTCAAGTGACCCCTGGTTGTACATTTGAGGTATTGCAATGGGCAGAGCCTCATATATAGAGAGAGACATACCTAGAGGAATGCTTAGTTCAGTGAAAACATCCTCTTGCTCCCAGGATGGTGAAAAATGGGTTCTCTTAGATTTCACCTCGGAGAATTCAGGAGATTTCATTTCCAGGTACCTAGAATTTGCTTAACAAATGAATAAATGCATTGAATGAAAACAGTTTAATGAACTACAACAACTTATATAATCCCCCTTCAAACATTTTTCTGAATGAGGCCAGAAGTTAAACAAGACCTGGAAATGGAATACCTCCATCCAATCTGGATGTTTAATACAGCACAGCTGACACTAGCTAACCAATAAAATACACCACACATTAACTAATATTTTTTTCTAGTGACAATTTGATGTTCATTCTGGCTTTTCAGTTTATATTTTGAACTTTTGCAGTTTGGTAATAGCCCACTTACATTAGAGAGAGTGTGTTAAAACTGGAGATATGATTTATGCATGCCTCAGTAGTACAGGATTCTGACAAACATAGTTATTTTTCATTCAGATGCTAAATCTCTGAGAGCAGATTTTAGGCATGGAAAATATTCTGATGATTTATTCAGAAGGATTAAGCTTGGTAAGAAAGTTATCTTTCCTCCTCCTTCCAGACGTGTGAATTGCTTTTATATCTGCTATATATTTGAAAGAATCTGTGGGTCTGTCTGTTTGTGCAAGGACTCCTCATAAACAGTAAAGCTGTGTCTAGACTGCATCCCTTTTCCGGAAAAGGGATGCAAATTAGACACATCGCAATTGCAAATGAAGCGGGGATTTAAATTCCCCCCGCTTCATTTGTATAAACATGGCTGCCGCTTTTTTCCGGCTCGGAGCTTTGCCGGAAAAAAGCGCCAGTCTAGACGCGGATCTTTCGGAAAATAAAGCCTTTTCCGAAAGATCCCTTATTCCTTATTTTAAGAGTAATAAGGGATCTTTTGGAAAAGGCTTTATTTTCCGAAAGATCCGCGTCTAGACTGGCGCTTTTTTCCGGCAAAGCTCCGAGCCGGAAAAAAGTGGCAGCCATGTTTTTGCAAATGAAGCGGGGGGGATTTAAATCCCCGCTTCATTTGCAATTGCGGTGTGTCTAATTTGCATCCCTTTTCCGGAAAAGGGATGCAGTCTAGACACAGCCTAAGAGTTAGGATCACCAAATTTGGTATGCAGCTTCCTCTTATCATAACTTAAAGCCAGGGCAGGGTTTGGTTGTGCCAGGACAATGGATGTGCCTGGAATGTGATTGTTTCTCATAACATGAAAAGGGAGGGATCTGCTAGAAGAGACAGTTATACTGTATAATGACCAAAGGGAGTAGCAAGGAGCCAGAGATGGGGACCGGGACAACTACAACCCCATTGGGCCAGTAGGGGTAGAGAAAGGGACAGTTATCTACTCTGACAAACTCTCTCAAATGCAGTTTGTTTGTGTGTCTGTCTCTCTGTGTGACAGTCTGTCCCCCAGCTGACAGACATGCATCTCTTTCCCAGCTGTGCCCACTGTAGCTGTAGCAGACATGGGCAGGTGCATCGCACCTGGCTCAAAGCTGCTGAAGTGAGAAAGGGCTGGGGTTGTTCTCTCTCCCGGGGCTGCCTGCATACTGAACTCCTCATCCTCAGCCCCACCCCAGAGCAATGCTCTAAATGAAGAAAAACAAAAATTATTTCAGTTAAGGACCCAAGCAACGCTGCGTACATCCTCTAGTTATATAATATATCCATCCATACGTGTGTATATAAAAAACACTGAGCCATCCAAGATCCCAAATCACTACAGCCTTCGAACAGAAGTGCAGATTGAGAATAAAGGTGTTGATTTTGATTGTGCAGTTCTTCCAGATACAGCTGTCCTTTCTCGGGTATTTTTCCTGGCAGCTAAAGTTTTTAATATTTGGGTATGATTAATCTTATCCCTCTTAAAATATTTTCTGGCTTGTGTCACCATGTGCCTTGCCACATCAGGTTTTATTAGTGGGAACAGACAAAATAATGATACATGGTTAGTACCCACACAAGTCCCCACACAAAGTCATGTGCTTGCATGAACAAAGACAGAGAACTGACCACCTAAAAACTGATCACCTAAACTATTTTAATCGTTTTGCATGGTGGGGAAGAAACACCCCTACTGAATATATTATGTGGGTGCGAGGTATTTGTTTACCTGCAAGAACTAGTTCTCATTGACAATTCAAAGTACCTAGCCGAGGCCTGAAAGAGTCCTGCTCAACTCATGTGAACCCAGATGTGACAGTTATAGCTGATTATGCCTTTCAGAAAGCTTGCAAGTTGTGTATCGTATTTCCTTAACGCCATTCGACTAAAAGCCTTTAAAGGATTAGCATGGCTCTCATGGCAGCAGGGGCTTTTTTACTGAGCTGCTCCTAGGACAATCTTGACACTATTAGCAGCATTTATTCTTGTTAGCAGCAGCTTAAAACCTAATGCATCTTGCACAAAAGAAAGCTCAAACAACTCTGCACCAGCCAAAAAGAAAACACAGAAGAAATAGTTACCCCGGGTCTCTTGACACTCCTGACCTCCACAGGTTGTTTCTTCGCTGGAGTTTGTTACAGGCATTTCCATGACTTCTTGACTCTCAGTTTCTTGCGTGCCCATCTGCTTGTAATGATCAATAAAAGCACCAGAGAGCTGAGGAGTCTCTCCTTTCAGATGATCTGAAGGTATCTGTCCATCCTCCAGCTTTCTGTGGATTTCAGAGCTCTCCTCCGTTTTTCCTTCCTTTTTGTGGCAATTAGAGCCCTGAAGAGTTCTGTCGGGTTGTGATTCATCTGGCTTCTGTTCAGTGTCCAAATTTAGGCTTGATACTTCGGGAACTGCACCGTCACCATCATCATTTTCTGGAGAGCCGTCAGAAGCAGCTACGCTTTCCTTTGCTGATCTGAAGCTCACTTCTGTGGCTTCCTGGGCAGATTGGCTATCACTCCTGTGGATCAGGCTGTGGTCATTTTCCAGTTCTAATGTGCTAGGTGCATACTGATGCATTTCTGAGCACGTTTTGTCTTTTGGATCAACTGGGACAATTTCTTCAAGTTCGGTTATATCCGGCTCCATAATAAAGTCATCTTCTCCCACTTCATCCACGGTGACCAGTTCTTCCATGTTAGCTGGATACCAGGTCTCTCCCTCCATCTCACTGCCACTCTCCCAGTCTTGCTCCTGCAGTAAGAGGAACATGGATTGAGAAAATTGTCATAGTTATATACCATCAATATCAGTGAATATAACTACTACCCTTTGCAGTAGTGATGCTTTGGACTGGCCATCACATCCTACTATGTTTGCAATTCCTAGGCACTGTGGTACCATGTTTGATTTACTCTGTGTACATGTATGGGGGAGTATATCTAATCACATGGTAATAGGGAGTCATCTCGTTAGCGAGAAGCTGGAAAGAGGCATGAGTTGTGTCAGGGTCACTCTTGCTAGGCGGATGCACAATTAACACTCCATGCTCAGAAGGTTCTGGAATTGGGTGTGGTAGCTGGATTCACAGACCACTTTGAGGACAAGTGGTCAGGGCAGCTGCTTTACAAAAGGGAGAAGCTTACTCATGAGAGCAGAAAGCAGGTTGGTTTCCCTGAAGCACTAAGCAGCAGGTTAAGGGCATTGTTAATTGTCCAACACAGAGATGTTAGAAATGTGAGTTAGAGAAAGAGCAAACTGAGAGGGAAAACGAATATCTTTCATTTTAGTTACACACCTTGAATGTGATTTGATTTTAGCCAAACTGTTTTAGTTCAATTGTCTTTACTAGTCTGGGCCACTAACATAAATGTGATGATGGAGAAAGTCATCTCTATCTGGCTACTCTCAGTTTTGTATTTTTCTTGTAGCAGGGTTACTGATTTATACACTTAATACCGTATTTTCTGGTGTATAAGACGACTTTTGATGTTAAAAAACATCCCCCAAAAATCGGGGGTCGTCTTATACGCCGGGTATACAGCTTTGCGGCTTTGCAAAGCCGCGGAGGGGCTCCGGCAGCGGGGCAGCCCAGGCACGCCGGGGCTGTCCCGCTGCCGGGGCGTCCTCAGAGGCTTTGCTCCCGGTGTCCCTGGTCTGCTGGGGACCGTCTCCAGCAGACCAGGGACACCGGGAGCAAAGCCGGGGAGGCGGAGGGGCGCTGGGGTATAAGACGAAACCCTATCTTTTAACTAAAAAATTAGGGGGTCGTCTTATACGCCCAGTAGCCTTATACGCCGGAAAATACGGTACTAATTGGTGGGTTCATTAGGGAGATGACTAGCTGAGTAATTCCAGAGTCCGGTAGAAGAGGAGAAAGTCTACCTCAGTTCCAGCTGGAGATTTCTACGAGCAAAAGGAGGCGTGATATTGCTGTGGAGCTTTTGACTGAGCAGACAGTAAAGAGCAGAGCTACTCAACATGCGGCCCGTGGCCCATTTGTTTTCTACTGCAACAGACATTGATAACTTCCACATTTGACCATCAGCTTCTAACTGTAAAGGTATGAAGCTGAAGAATTCCTAAGGACACATCTCTGTGCTACTACAGTAGGAGGTTTGCAAGGAAATTATTTAATTAAAGAGAAATATTTAAAAAGAGATTGTTTACAGTCCAGCTATCTTTCATCATTCTGGAAGGATTTCATCTATGGTCCCCTTCCTTTGCTGTCACTCCAAAATGACTGCCTCTTCTATTTTTGGACGCACTTTATAGTTATGTAGTCTTTTTAGGCATACATTGCTTCACATGCATAGCACTTGGCAGCAGCAATTAAAAGTAATCTATATGGGCATACAGCAACTAAAAAAAGAGCCTCTCAAAACTCTGTCAGGCACAAGCTATCTCTGGAAGCAGAGTTCAATATAAGGTAAGTTAATTTAAACAGCCCCTCTCAGATTGTCTGAGAAATGACATTCAATGGGTGGTGTAATATTTCAGTCTGCAAAATTTGCTGACAAATTCATGTGTAGCTTCATTTGATTAACACAGGCTGAGTCCAATTCACACACAGCGTACCTTCTCTTGTCTTGTGCTTTCTATAGACTCTCCTGATTCTTTTCCTTGATTATTAGCTGGAGATGAGGTCTTCTCGGTAATACACTCCTCTTTCCCAAGCTAAGACAAATACAACATGTATATCTGTAGTAATATGCAGCAGTCATTCTAAACCAATACGTTTCCATTATGGTTCTAGTCTGAGTTTTTGGGAGCAGAAGAATCCTACATGGTCACATTCCTTATTCATCAACTTTGTATAAATGAACTGCACTTATAGGTAGCACGTTTAAAACAAACAAAAGGAAGTGCTACTTCATGCAACCCAAAGTCAATCTGTGGAACTCCTTGCCAGAGGATGTTGTGAAGCCCAGGACTTTAACAGGATTCAAAAAAGAGCTAGTTAAATTCATGGAGAATAGGTCTACTAATGGATATTAGCCAGGATGGGCAGGAATGGTGTCCCTAGCCTTTGTTTGTCAGAAGCTGGGAATAGACAACAGAAGAGGGATCACGTGATGATTACCTATTTCGTTCATTCCCTGGGGGCACCTGGGCCATTGTCAGAAGACAGGATACAGGGCTAGATGGAGATTTGACCTGACCCAGTATGGCTGTTCTTATGTTCTTATATTCTTATGTTCACTGTGGGGAAACACCCGGAGATTGGAGACTTCCCTTTAGCACAGCAGGGCATAGTTAAAAAAAAATTAAAGAAAAAATGAAAATGAAAGAATTCATCAATTTCCAATCTTCTTTTTTCAGTTTTCCAACTAACCCTGGAATATCATGAATGAATACAGTGTAAGCTGGTCTTCAGGGTATCCCAACTCACTGATTTGTTATTGTAGGGGTGCTCAGGAATGCAGTTCTTTGCATGGGTTATGTTTTGGAAAAACAAACCACAAAGTTACATGGTGCTTAAAAATAAGGTAGGGTATGTCTACACTACCCTGCTAGTTCGAACTAGCGGGGGTAATGTAGTCATCCGCAGTTGCAAATGAAGCCCGGGATTTGAATTTCCCGGGCTTCATTTGCATGAAGCTGGCCGGCACCATTTTTAAATGCCGGCTAGTTCGGACCCCGTGCCGCACGGCTACACGCGGCACGGACTAGCTAGTTCGGATTAGGCTTCTAGATGACCCCCAGAAATCTCTTCCAACTCTAATTTATGATCCTATGAATTAAGGATGGGGTGGGGAAGGGAGGGAGAAGAAGCTTCAAGGTACTCAAGTGAATAAAAGATGTTGATGTGGCAAGTTTCAGAATGTTTGTGTAGATTTTTCTCCCTGCTTTATTTAACAATGTGAGTTCAAAACTGGCTCTGTGTACATTGCACCTCTAAAAGTGCAACTGCTCCCCAAGAAAACCTAAAGATGCTACACATGACAGGTGTCCAGGTGCATGAATAGGGTAAACAAACTTTTGCTCAAAAAGTTTGCTCCTGAGTTCTTGTGCTGCTGTACAAAATGATTGATTTGTGGACGGCTGTTGCAATGAGCAATGTTGAAATAACCTTTGACAGGCTTTACCTTTCACTTTTATGACACTGGGGTGCATCTACACAGCAGCGTTATTTCAGAATAACTGCCATTTTTCCGAAATAACACTGCGAGCATCTACACAGCAATTCTGTTTTTTTGAAATAAATTGGAAATAACAGATGGTTTATTCCAACCTCTGTAAACCTCATTCCATGAGGAATAACACTTATTCCAAAATACCTATTTCAGAATAGCAATAGTGTGGACGCTCCACTGCTGCTATTTCAAAATTGCTCTTCCCCAGGGCCATTCAAAGTAATTAGTCCCCAGTGCCTCCTGGGGCTCTAAATCGAGGTAGCACATCCACTTTAGAAGAGCCTGCTTCGGACTAATTTTGAGGCTTCCCTGTAGTGTAGACGTGTTATTTCGAAATAAGCTATTTTGGAGTATTTCTTCCAGAATAACTTATTTTGAAATACACTTGTAGTGTAGATGTACCCTTGATGATCTAGATTTTCTGGTATGAAGTAGCACAAAGCGCCTTTAAAACCGCCAGAAATAGCCACTGGAGAATTCCCTCTAGCAGGGGAATACTCTGCGGGCAGAAATCTGGCGGTGCCAACCATGTAAATTCCATAAAGGATCTTATTCCAGTGGCATACGTAAGGCCCTGCCAATTTCATGGCTGTGAAAAACAGGTCATGGACTGTGAAATAAGCCCTTCTCCGTGAAACCTGATCTCCCTGAAATCAGCGGGGCTTGGGAAGGACACGATTTCCCTTCTGTGGCTGTTACCGGGGGCAATCACACTCACCTCTACAGACTGCCCCATGCCGGTTCCTGCCTGGGCTTTGGGTACCCCATGGCTTCTGCCAGGGATGGGGGCACCTGGGCTCCAGCTGGGATATGGGGCTTCTGCCCCCTGTGGCTCTAAGCCAGATTCAGGGACCTGGGCTGGAGGCTGCCTCTCCCCACAGGTTCTGTCTGGCTCGGGGCTCCCCTCTCCCCACGGCTCCAGACAGCAGAGCTTCAGGGCTGCTGCCATCTCCCACCTCCACAGCTCCTGCCTAGGCTCTGGGCACTTGAGTTCTGGGGCTTCTACTCTACCACCCCTCCCCCATGTCTCTTGCCCAGGCTAGGGGCTGCTGCTTTTCCACCACCCCCTATCCCTGCAGCTCCTGCTGGGGTTGGGGGCACCAAGGCTCCAGCTGGGACTCATTTCCAGTCCCTGAAACTGCAGCCAAGAGTTCAGGGGGTCTGGACTGGGGGCTGTCAACTCCCTCCAGCTGGGACTCAGGGCTTTTCCCCGCCCCGGCTCCTGATGGGGCTCCAGGCCACTCGGGCTTGTAGCTCCCTCCCCACTCACGGCTCCTGTCCGGGTTTGGGGCTTCAGCCTCAGCAGCTCCTGCCAGGGCTGAGGCACCTATTTTTCAAACCACCCAAAGTATCAGGGCACTGGCCCCATAGGCTAATCCACCACTGGCCCTAACTAGTAGCTAGAAGCCCCCAGCTGTGGTGCTTCCAGAAGCCTTGGGGACATTGGATGTACCTCTTCTTCTGGGAGCCTCCTCCAGCTGCAAGAAACTCCACAGCTGTGCCACTACCTAGAGAGGGAAACTGGTCCCTGCCCGGCCATGACATGGAGCGATAAATTAGTAATATTCATTGTCACAGTCAAGAGTAGGAAATTACAAATACAGGTTCCCAATTGCTGGGGAAAGAAAAATTGTGTCAGGAGCGTAAAAGGTCATTCCTAGGCTGATATATCACAAGTGGCTTTGTACAGAAAGAGCGTGTAGCGCTAGCTGAAAGAAAGGCAAAGCCAAATATTTTGTCGCATCAGGTCAGAGACATGTTCAACAAATCATAATTCCAGCATTAAAACTCTTCACCTCCCCCTGGGCCAACTGAAGAAGTTCCTTGTTACCTTGTTCTCAGTTGCATTGTCTTCCTTCCCAGCAACAGCCTCTTCGCCTTGGTCTTTATCAGCTTTCTTCATTTTATATTTATCACTTTGCTTTTGTCTGGAGCCTTCTGATTCCTTGCTGGGCTTTTGTTCTGAAGTTTCCTCCTTCTCCAGGTCCTCACACTGAGAGTGTTTGTGCTCTCTCAGCCTTGCCTCTTCTTTTCTTCTCGACTTCATGGGCGCATCCTGCAGCTGCTTTTGATATCGATCAGATTTTGACTTAGATACTTTTCTGTAATAGTCATCTTCCCGACTCTTATATCCAGATAAAGCATGAAGGGCATTGGGTGAACCAGCCCGTAAGTACTTTTCTCTGTGCCCTCTGGCTCCTTCGATCCGCCCATCCAAGTCTAGCTTGTCCAGCTGCCGTAGATAGTGTTTTCTCTCGTGAACCCATGAGTCTGTCCTGTCCCTTTTCTCCTCCCCATTCTCTCTCCAGAGCACTGCCTCTCTCTCATCCTCCCTTCGGGAATAAGGGGCCTGATCCCATGATTCTCTTCCATTTCCCCAGTCTGTCCTGCTGGCACCCAACGGACTGTGAGGTGAGCTGCAGGAAGTAAAGCTTGGCGTGTGAGATCTTGGTGACAGAGAGCGGCTTATGGGGCTGCGAGACCGTGGCCTCTCAGTCCCATGCCTGTAGCAGAAGGAAAACACATAATTAATCATCTCTCTTTGGAGGAAATCTAGGGAATTGTTAACCTGTTTGGATCCAGCCATACGGAGTGCAAGGTTAGTACACTGCGGCCAAATCAAACAAACCTTTGCAACTGCACCCACAGATTTTGGACACGTAGCCATCTGCACATGCACTGTTCCCCTGCATGTGCCAGAGCCTGGTTAGAATGGTACAGGCTGAATTTCTCTAGTCCAGCACCTTTGGTATCTGACCGGTGCCGAACCAGAGAATTTGCCAAGCCACGGGAGGTCAATATTGACTTGCAGCATGACCAACACTTCCACTGCTCTTACAAGACATTTAGGGGTAAATTAGAGCTACATAACAGCACAGAACACAGAGCCAGGACTGATGGCTGCAAACAAACTTTATGGGACCTCGGGAAACTCGGCCCATGATAAGTGGACATCCAGCTAACTAAAATCACGCCAAACTCCAGATTCTGCTGGACCAGAGAGTGCTGGATGAGAGAGCTTCAGCATGTACTAACATTCACAGCATTTTTAAAAATCCACACCGAATCTTTCACAGAAAAATACTTGTTCTTCCTTAAGAATGGCACCAGATGTCAGTTTCCACTTGTTTAATACAGGCCATTTATGCATCCATGTCATCACTAAAGTGATAAAAAGTGGCACTTCTACCCCTGGATAAAAGTTGTTTCACTTTGTGACTGTCCCTCCTATAGAATCACTTCTAGTGCAAGACCCATAAATGCATGTAATAAATAACAGGCACGTGGAAAATATGCCGAATAAATAGCAACATTTTTTATTTAACATGACTCCTTCCTCCATTCTCTCAGTGCATCTAACCTGTCTGTCTTTAGATGAGAGGGGAATGTCTTGAAATTTGAGTATTGCATGTGCCAAGCATGTTATCAATGCTCACTAATAAGAAGTAAGTACTAAGAACAACATCATTTTACTGCATAATAACTATTCCATCTGCAATTGTGTTTCACTTCCTGGGCTCTGTGATTTATCATAGTACCCATTTGTATTTTTTCTAGCAGTAGAAATGAAATGCAAGAGACTTCCAAAACCTAAGAGAGTGAGAGAATTAAGAACGAAACAGGAAATGGACATGCTTGATTATCCTGCTTGCCAGTCAGCAGAGTTCATAGAATCATAGTTATCCAACCCCCCTATTTCTAAACCATCCAGAAACCCTCTAAATCAGCACAGGTAATGGCTCAGTGTTCAGAATGCACAGAATTTGCTGTCTATATTGCTCTGTCAACTTTCTTCTGAACCAAATCACTGAAAAAAGGGTATACCCCACTGACATCATGAAGAGTTTACCTGTCAGCTTCACGGTACATCTCTCTCTCCTTTTGAGAATGGATGTCCTGAATGATCGCCGCCACATTTTTACCTGGTTTCTAAACAAAACAAAAGATGCCTGTTTAGAATCCAACATATCTCTAAGCTATTTTAGGTGCCACAACATATATGAAGAGACATTCCATGTAGCATTTCATTATACTACCTGTGAAAAATATCCTGATACAGTATGTTCCCATAGTCTTCTCTCAAGTTGGTAGCATGGTGACTGATGTACTAAAATTGTACTGATAGGAAGCAGTGATCTGTTACACGTCAGCATTGTAGCTTTATATTTGTTGGCTTATATAATTTGATCTGAACACTAGACAGTCTCATTTTATTGGGCATTCACTGTATAATATTTGGAAGGAATCTGCATGTAGCAAGAGACAAATTAGACCACTAGCCTAAAACATGGATTAAACAGCTGTGTCATTCATCCTTTTGCCTCCCTAGGAATAGACTGCTATGATATTTAGTTTCACTGCTTAGCCCATTCAGGAGCATGGCCACACAACAACATATGTAGCCACGGGAACTTCAAATAAAAATATCAAGGAAAGCTTGTAAGTGAAACTTCAACAGCTAAAATTCTTTCAAGACCATTTATAGAAAATTATTACAAACGATCAAAGTGTTTAAACAATACGAACAAGGCTAGCTGAACAATATAGTCATACAGGCACTGAAAGCAATTCATAGCAGTATAATCCACTCCTTCCTGAATTAAAAAAAATCACTTTTGCTACCTTTGAGGAAAGTACCAGGAATTCCTGGGCTATAAGGCAGTGTGCAATTGGAACTGCCAAAAATTGTAGTAAATTTGTAGGCTTTTCTGAGCAGTTCACATTCAACATCTATTTACCTTAGATACATACCAGGCACTCATTGCCATGGTATCTAAGCACCTCACTCATTTTTGTACGTATATTCCCCACATGCCCTGTGAGGTAGAGAGGAACTACTCTTCCCATTTTAGAGATGAACAGTTGAGGCACACAGAGACTGATCTATAAGTGCATCTTTGTAGAGCAGGGACTAGAACCCAGGTAATTTGAGTCCTAGGCATGTACTCAGGGGAACCAACAACCACCTGCACAAGGTGCACTGAGGCAGCTCCATATGCTAGAAGCGGCGGGGCCTCAGGTCGACGGGGTGGGGCCTCAGGTGGAAGAGTGGGGCCTCATGCAGAAGGGGCGGCGCCTCAGGCAGAAGGGGTGGGCCACGGTAGCCAACCCTCAGCGCTGCCCAGGGCATGCCATGCCAGCCTCCCCAAGCCCTTAGAGCCACCCGGAGTATGCGTGCAGCACTCCAGTAGCAATTGAAAGGGCCCAAGGCAGTAGCAGCAGTGGAGTTTGGGAACCCAAGACCTTTTTGAATCGCTGGTTGCCCTCTTTGCCATTCCTTCCACCCAGTCAATGGGCCTGCTTGTGCTATAACTCTTAGGCTGTGTCTACATTGGCAGGATCTTGCGCCAAAGTGGCCGCTTTTGCGCAAAAACATGCTGCCTGTCTACACTGGCGGGGAGTTCTTGCGTAAGAACATTAATGTTCTAATTTGTGAATTCAGGGCTTTTTGTGCAAGAACTATGACGCTTCTGCTCAGGAATAAGCCCTCTTGCACAACTGTTCTTGAGCAAGAGGCCAGTGTAGACAAGCAACATGAATTTCTTGCGCAAGAAAGCCCAATGGCTAAAATGGCCATCGGAGCTTTCTTGCACAAGAGAGCATCTACACTGGCATGGATGCACTTGTGCAAAAGCACATCTCTTGCGCAAAGGCACATGCCAGTGTAGACGCTCTCCTGCGCAAATACTTTAACGCAAGAACTCTTGCGTTAAAGAGTATTTGCGCAAGATCGCGCTAATGTAGACACAGCCCTTGACTATCACTCTTCCCTGGTCTATCCTCCCATCAATGCTACAGCATGCACATAACTCATCCGCAGAGAGAGAAAACAAGCTTGTTGATAGAAATCTTTAGGACAGCAGTGCCATCACCGTTATATATGGAAATTGTACTGTGGCTCCAGGGTACAATTAGTGAAGCCATTTTTACTAAATCACATCTGACAAATGACAGAAAGAACAGTAGCCTCTTATTTTTGCCACGGCATGGCATCTGCAGTGCTTCATGCATGGCTGGCTATTAGGCTTTCGTTACACTGAGCAATACCAGTGTCTGGCTGTAATAAGACAGCTGGGGAAGGAGTTTAGGATTAATGGTGTGACAGAATCAGATTAAGTAGAGTCTCTGCAAATAACTCCAATTCAAGAAGAAAGCCAATGGTTGAGTAGCCATGGCATGTTAGCATGTGTTGGGTAACTTCTTCGCCATCATTTCATTTTGAAAATTCCTATTATGGTAAGTAACAATCAGTGATCAGCAGAGGTTTCTACAGGTGTGCCAAGAACTTCAGACCCATGTACAGTCAGGAACATGTTTACAATTTACCTTCAGCTGAAGCTCCTTGTATCTTTTAGACATTCTAATGAGTAACTTGTCGTCATTAATCATAGCAGGTTTCTCTTGGTAGTACTGCACCATAGCTTGTGCTGCCTCCGTGTACGCCATTTCTAAAAAGGCCTATGGCGAAAAAGAAAAAGGCGTGTGGATTTTCGGTGTGCTGGGCACTCCGCAGTGAGACAAACATGGTACATCAGCTTAAGTTCACAATGTTTTTGAGACATCGGTTCTAGCAAATTGTAAAATGCAAAAAGCCTGCACAAGATTTTCCCAGATCCGTGTAGCATTTCAGCTTTGGCGCTGAAATTGTAACAGGGTATTTTGATCAGTTTCCATTTATTTAAATAAATGGACTGCCAGTTAGAAAAGATGAAATCAATTAACAAAAAAAAAAAGGACTAAATCTTTCTTGACCCATGAAACGTGAATGCACTTTCTTCCCATTTTCATGGTCACCTTTGAACTTTGCGGTTAGTTGGTGAAAAGAGGCAGAGGACATGAAGGCTGTGTCTACACTGGCCACTTATTCCGGAAAAGCACCTGCTTTTCCAGAATAACTTGCCAGCTGTCTACACTGGCCGCTTCTTTTCCGGAAAAGCAATGATGATCTAATATAAAATCATCATTGTTTTTCTGGAAAAACTATGCTGCTCCCGTTTGGGCAAAAGTCCTTTTCCGGAAAAACTGTTCCGGAAAAGGACCAGTGTAGACAGCCCAGTAGTCTTTTCCGCAAAAAAGCCCCGATCGCGAAAATGACTATCGGGTCTTTTTTGCGGAAAAGCGCGTCTAAATTGGCACGGACGCTTTTTCGGAAAAAGTGCTTTTCCGGAAAAGCATCCTGCCAATGTAGACGCGCTTTTTCCGGAAATACTTATAACGGAAAACTGTTCCATTTTAAGCATTTCCGGAAAAGGGTGCCAATGTAGACGTAGCCGAAACGCTGCAAAAGGTGCCACTCTTGAAATTTCTACTTCAGTTTTGCTAACCCTGTAAGAGTCCAGACTTTGGTACGCAAGACAAATCAAAAGTCAAATTTAGAAGACAGGTCTGTCATTGTCAAAAGCCAGAAAGAATTAAAGCTCAGAGTGGTGCTAACAAGCAGGTTTATGACAGTTTAAACAAAAGATGTATTTGGATGTGACTTTAGTATTAGTGGCCTATAACAGGGCAAGCCTTGCCACCATAACACCTCCTGCCTGTCACTCTGGGAATTAGTTTTTCAGTGCTGATGCGCCCCTTTCAGCTGGTGTCTCACCCATTGTTACCTGTTTTTCCTCCACCTCTGTGTTATTAGGACCCACATCTCTCTCAGACCATGGCATCCTCCCCTGCTGCAGTGCCCCTACAGGGAACCCCCAAAGCTCCTAAACCCACTTTGCCTCACTGACCCTACTGCCAGTCTTCATCTAGCCCCTTACTTCAGGGGCAAACTGCAGTCTGTGATGGCCACTCATCATTGGCAAAGGGGTGTGGACCTACTGCCTTTGCCTACGCTGGTTGCCCCGCTTCAGCCCTACTACCTCAAGTCTTGCTTCAGGCCCTGCAACCTGGGAGCTTGCCTAGCCAAAGCTTCCCCAGCTCTACCTGCCTTTCCCCAGCCCTGCTGTAAGTCAGGAAGCCTCTAGCTTCCCTGGCAGCCAGGTCCCTCCTCCAGCACTGAAGCAAGAGCAAGTCTGTCTCCACCCCCACCAGCAGCCTTTATTTATACAGCCCTCAGCTGGGCCCCAATTGGCTAATTCCTGCTACAGATGCTGGCTCTGTGGCTCCAGCCCTCTCCCAGAGCTGGGTTTTAACCCTTAAAGGACCAATGCGGGGCAGATGCTCTGTTCCATGGCAACTGTGATCTACATTTACTGTAATTTAAAGTATGATTATGATGAGAAGAGTCACTGTAAAATGAAATGTTACTATTTCCTTTACATCCTGACTTTAAAATGAAACATTACT